AGGAATTGTGTGGTTTGATGTAACCTCCATTCATACAACTTTGGGTTAGTTTAAATTTTTAGCGGGTTAGTAGAAGGAATGATGGAATTATAAGCTGAAAATTACTCTTTCACTTGAGTTTGAGTTACTTCTTTATTATTATTTATGATGTTTAAGAATAATATAAATGTAAATTTCTGCTTCTGAAGTATCAAATTTGTGGCTGTCACATTTTTTGTTTTAAACAGTTTTACTAAACAAGAATAGAATGGTCATTTTTCAAGAAACAGCTGTTTCCTAATAGTTTTCACACAACTATAATAAACAGGCAGCCCCCTGCAACAGTTTTTTGGGACAGATAGCTGCAGTTGAAAAGTTGAGAAACTGCAACTACCCCAAACATACCCTAACACAATTCAGTTGAGCTGATAAAAGTAATTCAACTACAAACTCAAATAAATTCAAGAGCAAATTTCAACATAATAAAATAAGGAAAGAGCAATGATGAATTAAATTATTGGTATTATTAAAATGATAATTAATAAAATAAACTGTGTATTTATTGACAGATAAATTATAGAAGTTACAAGAATACTAAAAAAAAATATTCACATTAAATAAATAAATAAATTTATTTATTTGTTAGTCAGGCGTGAAGTAAGGGGAAAGCTTAGCGTTTTTGTTCAGTCCACGTCTTTCCCTCGAAGAATTCACCGAGCATTCGCTCCAGATCCTCGGGCGTAAATCTGATATACTTCTGAGGATTCTTTCCATTTTGTATGAGAGGTCTGATGCAAGAGTTTATGACGTCATAATTCAGTTATCGATTGCCAAAAAATAATATACAACAAATAAATAACACAAATATATAAAAATTTCATAGTTTCATCAAATGAATAGTAACACTGCAGATTTCATTAAAATTTAAATGTGGAGTTATATCTTTAGTTTTTATGAAACTCATATGAGATGACACCTCCCTTTCCATAAATGGAAAAAAATATAATAAAATTTTCAAAATGTTCTTTATTTTCTCAAATTATGAAGAGGGCGGGCGCCTAAATTTTTGGAATTAGCAGAAGGAGCTCAAAAAAACAATTTTGTGGAGCAGATGACACCAAGTGAACTGCAAGCTACATGACAAAAGGGTTGTTTTCACAATTAAAAAGCCAATTAAACCTCTAAACTTTAAGCCTAATTACCCTTCTGAATCAAAGCAAATCAATTATGAATCCACAACAACTTTTTTCCTATAAGAACAGTAAGGCCTGAACCTGTGCTAACTTTCAAAATCGAATGATTCGGCTTTAAAATAAATAAAAAAATGAAAGAAAAACTTACCCAAAGCGTTTTATAAAAGATCTATATGCTGGCAACAGAACTTCAGCAACCGCAAGCCTAAGAGACTCCCGAAGTTCAGGGTCAGGTATTGGATCTGGCACTGTCCACTGAGATTGCCTTTGATGAAGCTCCTCAAACTGCATGTTGAAGAACTTGAACCTGATGCACCCAAATGATGAATAAGTTTCTATGTTCATATAGATAAAATTAAGGGGCATTTATATACATACCTCACAGTTCTTATGTATTTACATATCTAACGCATTAACATTCATATTTACGTGCATACCACTCAAATCTTTAACATTGCATCAAAAATACTACCATCGCTATTTTCTTAGAAGTGAAATACACATTTTCATGCATAAGTTTATGACAACAAGGTGTTAATATGTGCAAATATCAAACTTTAGGTGTTTGATATGTAAATACAAGAGAATTATGTGGTATGTATGTAAATTTTCCTAAAATTCAATACATATTTCGGGTGATCAACCTCTCCTTTATATTTGCCCTGGAAACTCCACTGCTACTACCCCCATCGCTTCCTCCGGCAACAGAACCGTTTGAAGAACTCAAGCCTTGAACAGTGAGGGTCTGTAGAATCTGGAAACCATAGGATATTAAGAACTACAGGTGATCATAAATATAAAGTAAAACATATTTATGCATACTTTTCAAACAGGCTTGAGAACTCGAGTTATATCGAACAAAAACTTTGGATTAGGTTTCCAAGATTATCTTTGCAAGGTAAAAGATTTGCATGCAAAATGTTTGCATTATTATCAAAATGTCTCTAGTTATTTGTACGAGTTATAAAGTAAAAATATAATGCCAATTGTGTTTAGCAAAAATAAAAAATGTTATCATCGTAATGGCACTTTTAAGCAAAGGTTTCAATTACAGTATAAAAAATAACCAAATATGTAAGTCTGCTTTCTAGAGAGCTCCTAAACTATTTAATTGACTAACGCAAGGAAAAAATCTAAAAATGAACACAAATATATTTCAAGCAAACAAGAATTTTCATAGTCCAACAAATTAATCATTCATACACTAAATTATGCATATGAAACATAGCAAATGTTCAAATGATAAAGATACCGAATTGTTAAGTTAGAACTTAGAACTTACAAATTATCACACCGGTAGCACTTTCAAGCTCCAACAGCAGTACACCGAAGGCTTGTTTGGAATCACTTTTATTTTTAGACTTTTCTTTTTTTTTTTTTTTTTTTTTTTTTTTTTTTTTTTTGCTTTTATTTTAAAAACATATTTGTTCAGTGTATTTTTTAACTATTTTTATGTTTTATTTAATAAAAGAAAACTCAAAATATCTAAAAATTATTTTGAGTATTTCTAAAAACAGCTTAATATGTTAAAAGATACCAAACATGTTTTAATTAAACTAAAAGTATAAATAAAATAAATTAAGAATTAAAAATCATAGTGATCCGAAACATCCCCTAAAGTAATACTAATAGTGATAGACTAGTTGGAAAGAAAGAAAACTTTACAAATCCAGGCCAATTTTACCTTTGCCCATGCAACCCGCCTATACTGTTTCGCATTTTGCTGCACAAGTCTTCTGTGCCTTTGAACCCAATCATCACCGAATAAATCCTTAGCCTCTGACCTGAACAAAAAAAGAATAAATTTAAATAAACCTATGCATTAAAAGGTCTATTAAAAATTTGAATGATGTGTATAAAAATGAAAGTTTAGGCGTTAGATATGTAAATACATAAGATTTATGTGATAAAAAAAATATCGCCAACCAGTTGATATACGTGGGTTGTGGGTTGTTATAAAGATTCAGAGATCAGTTTGTACGAACAGTTTACCTTCGAACGGATCTGACCATATAATGGAGGTTATTCATGAGGAATAGGTAGGTCAACGCAGGATCTTTATATTGCTTAGATTTTCCATCTAGGTTGCTCTGAAGAGCCTGCATTATCCTCATAGTTACTATTGCCAATTGGGAATTATCATCAGCCCCAGCTGCTTCAAACTCCTGAAAAAGCTGCTTCAATGTGGACTGATAGCTGAAAAAAACATGATGTCCACTTGTCAGAATATCAATATTAACAATGTAAATAGTTTAAATTTGAAGATTCCGAAAAAGTGAAAATGTAAATCATAGCACAAATGTAACCTCATAGTACACATACATCTTCAATAAAAATACCGTTAGGACTGGCTACAAACATCCAAGTGTCAAGAAGATTCTATAGGTCATCAAATATCTCAAAGAAAAGAAAACCGCATTAGACTTCAATGCTAAGGTTATGTCTACAATTTCCAAGAAGTTCTCGGGCCCTCGCCAATGCATTGCGTACAAAGGTGACTTCCATCATTGAGTGGATGCTAAAGTCCACTTCATGGGTAGAAGCTCCTATCTTCAGTTGACAAAGTGGGAAGATTTATATACAGACCACACAGTTTCTATATATTTACAAATCTAACACCTAAACTTTAATTTTTACATACATGCCACCTTAGGTATGCATTATTTCAATTTTTTTTAAATTAAATGGTGGTACTTTTTATGTAATATGAAAGATTTGGGTGGTAGAAATGTTAAGACAAAGTTTAAATTACTGGAGCTCTTACTGCAGGCCTTCCACTCTATTCCACTACCACTGAAACTCAGCATGCAGCCAGAATCCTCCTGCTGCAAGCCTTTCTTCGAAGCCCCTCCACTCCTTTTTGGCACTGGAACTCTTCCTTCAGGATCCCCTCTGTTCAATTCTTGCCACCGGCTTCTCCCTGCAACCTGAATTATCCTTTCTGTAGGCCCTCCTCCTTCAAAAGAACCGTTCTACAGCAGCAGCTGCAGACGCAACAGCCAATTCTCCCACCTGCAATAAATTCACCTCTCTCCCTGTAGGCCCTCCGTCAGAGCTTCTCCCTTCAGCGGGCTCTCTGCCAGAGCTTCTCCCTGCAGCTGTCAGCATCAAAATTCTCCTTGCAACCACCAGCCAGTTTGCAGGCTTCATAGCAGGATTCCCTGCAACATTCCTATCTCCACTGCCTTCCACCAGGGCAGCCACAGGTAGCAGTCAGCCTTCCCACCGACGACCCAACTGGTCCTTCTTGAGAAAGTAGACCTCTCTGACTTTCTAGGCATTCATCCATTCCTATGGCAAAAAGCAACCAGGAATTTGGAGCTTGTAAAAGCAAAGAATTCATTTAGGCCTAAAGGTGCATAGGGTTTATGACCAAATACAAAATGAAGGCATCTAGTTTTACTCCGAAGCTTACCAGCTTGATATACACCAAGGTATAATATCCTCCTATTAACAGTAGAAGATCTCGACTGTGGATAATAGAGTCAAGTGCTTTTGATCACATGACTAGGGACATTCATGATCTCACCAACTATCAAGAGGTCACCAATCTCTAATTTGTTAGACTCGCCGATGAATCTCACTCAATGATTGTTGGGAAAAAGATTTGAAAATCTCCAAAAATATTCAACTTTTATCAGTGTTATTTGCTCTCCAACTAGATTACAACTTACTTTCAATTAAAAAGCTTACTCATGATCTAAACCGTGTTACTAAATTTCATTCTAACACTTGTGAATTTCACATGGTGGATTCGGGAAATATGATTGTCAGTGTCGAATTGCATCAAGGTCTACATGTGCTTAAAGAGAACTATTCCCTTAACACAAAAGCCTCTTCTCCACTGTCCCCTTCTCAATGATTCCAAGTCTGTGGAAAGTAAAGTTTTATTATGATATTATCGTCTGGGCATCCCAATTTTCTTTATACTGTGAAATTTTACCCCCCATCTTTTTATTAACAAAAAACCTAAGTTTCATCAGTGTGAAACATGTCAATTGGCTAATCCTGCCTCTTCTCCACTGTCCCTTTCTCAATGATTCCAAGTCTGTTGAAAGTCAAGTTTTATTATGATATTATCTTTTGGGCATCCCAATTTTCTTTATACTGTAAAATTTTACCCCCCATCTTTTTATTAACAAAAAACCTAAGTTCCATCAATGTGAAACATGTCAAATGGTTAATCCTGCCCATCATGTGCATCTTTTCTCAGTACAAACTCTCGCATCTGTTCTCTATCATCTCTAGTGAAGTTTGGGGACCTTCAAAATTGAAAATCATTAGTGGACACAGATGATTTGTTTCATTGATGATCACATTAGAACCAATTGGATATTTCTCATGAATTAGAAATCTGAAATTGCACAAATTTTTCAGTCCTATGACATGATTTACACTCAATTGCAATACAAAATTCAAATTCTCAAAACGAATAATGCAAAGAAATTCTTCAACTCTATCCTTGGATCCTTGCTTCTAAAGAATGGTATTAACCAAGTGAGTTCCTGTATTGAGACTCCACAATAAAATATAATAGCTGAGAGAAAGAATAAACATCTCCTTGAGGAATCTAGGTCTATAATACTTTCTCAAAATATCCCAACAGATTTTTGAAGAGATATGCTTACAGCTACCTACCATATTAATAAAATTCAAAGCAATATCCTTGAATTCAAAATCCCTCTCCATGTTTTAATGGAAAAATACCTCATGTTAGAGCATTCTCGTCCAATCTTCCTCTAAAAAAATTTGGTTCTCTTTTATCTACATTCACCAACTAAACCGCACAAAACTTGACCCAAAATCCATCAAGTGTATTTTCTTTAGGTATGCCTTCAAAGAAAATGAGTATAAGTGTTACTCTAATGTTTCAAGAAAATATTACAACACCATAGATTTCACATTTTTTAATAAACGGTCCTACAATCCCAAATTTGATGCTCAAGGAGAGAGTAATGAATATATTAATTTTGGGTTGCATTTGATGACACTTACACGACAACCCCACTTACTCCTCTTCCTACTCCTCTTCCACCAACTCTCATACTCTTGTTGAGGATATCCAACCAACCAAACCTGAGTCAACAACAAAGATTTTCGTGTGTACACAAGGAGGAGGAAAAACCTTGAGCAGTTAGAAGACAAGTTGCAAAAATAGAACTGCTCCAACCAAAACTCGTGCCCACACTTACCTGAAATTTTGGGTGAGGATATATCTAGTACTCATAAGTTATCCCCTTCATATTTTAGTGTTAATGACAAGAAAAGTCCTACCAGATACCCAAATCAGAAGTATTTAGCTTATAGGAAGTTATCCTCAACTTATAGAGCGTTTATATCTAACATTGATAATGTGTAGATTATTAAATACATTCATGAATCTCTTCAAAATTCAGAAAAGAGGAAAGCAGTGAAAAAATATTCAAGTGCTATAGCATAATGGCTGGTGGATTCTTATAAAACTCCCTCAGGATAAAAAACTAGTGGATGCAAGTTGGGATTCAACATCAAATACAAAATTGATGTCAGTCAAGCAAGGAGTCTGGACCGGTCGAATATAAATATTGTTCCTTTTACTGATTAAGTTTAATATTTGTTGAGTTTCTGTCAGGTAAGCCGCCAGCTTCCCATTTCCGCTTCTTGAGTTGTATCTGACAGCGAGAGGGTGCTCTAACTGTAACTTATCCTAGGTGTTGATCTTCTTCAAAGGTTTGAGAGGTGTTCCAGCTGTAACTCGACCACGTGAGAATATTTATCATTTCGTCTCTTCCTTGTTGTCGCCCATCGCAACGCGCAGCTAGCCCACTTGCACCCTTCCCACTTTATTTCTCTCAGGCATCAATCCAAGAACCTCCCTTGCTGTTGTTGTATTCCACTCTAACCCTCTCATAATTGTCACTATAGTTCCTTCTCCCCTAAACATTTGTTGTTGCCTCAGTTGTCCCCACCCCCTGTTGTTACCGTAATCCATGCCAACCTCATTCCCTCAACCCCTTGCTAGTCGCAACGCCTTCTACCTTCCCATATGTTCTTTAATTCCTTCCCCATGATCAAACATGTTGCCATAGACCCATCTCCAGGCAGACTAATCATGTCACCACCCTTTACTTACCTTCATGTTGTTGTCCCAACTCCAATGTGCCCTATCAGCCAGCTGCCACCCAACTGCTTCGTCATCGCCTAGGGTGTCTTTTTATGTGTGTTATCATTTTCCTTCTATTTTGAATTGACGTCGTTGCAACCATTTGAATTTCAGCAATAAGATTTGCATGTCTATTGGGATTTTCCTTAATTTTGATAATTTTGATCTCAAAGCTAGTCTAACCCTACTCTTATCCTGGAGTTTCCTAGCATCCACCCTACCAAAGCCAACTCCACAAAAAATTCCTTCATATTCCCAAACCATAGCCAAACTTTGACCTAACCATAATTTACCTTGCTGATTTTCAAAATTAACAATACTAAATCATTTTCTTCACCCAATTTCGCCTCCTAACTCTAAACCTTAGCCATGCCACCAAGGAAATATATACATGAGCCTACCCAGAAAGAGATACAGTGAAAGATCCACCGAATTCAACGGATACTTGCGGACAATGATGAAGAAACCCGGTGGAAAACTACCTTCAATCGTCATAGGGAAAGTCGAAGGGGCAAAATATACGAAAATTTCAACCACTTCCATAGGGAGGATTTCAGCGAAGACAAAGACAGGCCACGAAGCTTTGGAATCCAGTACTAGAGGAGGCAGAGAAAGGAGACCACATATGGATAACACAGGGACTTCGGAATAAAGGTGGATCTACTAGAGTTCGATGGAGGTACGGATCCAGACGACTTTATCGAATGACTACAATCAGTTGAGAGCATCTTTGAGTAGAAAGAAGTGCTAGAAGATGAAAGGGTAAAACTTGCAGCTATCAAATTGAGAAAATTTGTCTCCTTGCGATGGGAAAACTTGCAAAGGCGGAGGAAGAAAGAAGGCAATGATAAGTTTACCAAGTGGGAGAAGAAGCGGAAGGAGGTGCAGAGAAAATACCTGCCTACTCACTATCACCAGGATATGTTTCTGAGACTCCGCCACCTGCAGCAAAGAGACCTATCAATAGAGGTATTTGCGGCACAGTTTGACAGGTTGCACATGAAGTGTGATTTAGTCGAGCCAGAAAAACACACCATAGACTGTTACCTAGGAG